TGTGGAACGGACATCCTTTAGATAGGGTGGTCCTGCTTCTTCTTGCGGTGTATGCTGCTGCTACTTCATCGTCGTCGTCATGTTCCATCTTCGGATCGCCGTACTTGTCGAAGTCTTGCTCATTGGCGACTCCATCCATTCCGATGATGTTCCTTTTGCCTCTCCTCACGACAACACGACTGGGCTTTGATGGGTCGGTAATGAAGAAGCATTGGTCCACTTGGGAAGCCAGTACCCATGTCTCATTTTTCACGGTGACGTTTGCGCTCGCGGTTTTGGATTTGGCTTCGGGTATAACCATGGTGGTGAAATACCGGTCTTCTTTTAGGACGCTCTTGGCCCATCTGACACGGAATATCGGGACCTGCTCTCCAGCGTAGCTCAGCTCCCAGATCTCCTCGATCCTTCCATAGTATCTGTCCTTGTCGTTACCGGTGTAGGATTCCATCGTTACCCCGGAGTTTTGATAACCATCGCTCTTCATGTCCTTGCCCTCGGTGTAGAATATGTAACCGTTGATTTTGATGAATCTATGGTGCAAATGAGGTGAGGAGGAGGAGGCAGCCGACACAAGCTTGGAAGAGTAGGCGAAGAGAATAAAGTGGGGAAAGTGAGTGTGTAGGTGTGGTTGTCCAAAATATCTAGCTGGTCCCAGGTTACTAATAGCGCACCACACCACAGACAAATGTGTCATTAGTAACCTTGTTACTAATGGCGCACCAGCTTGAGATGCGTCATTAGTAGTTTTGCAAAAAAAAAAAATAGTAGTGGCGCACTGTGTAGGTCCATTACTAGTTAAACTAGTAATGGCGCACTAGTCCCTGGTGCGCCATTAGAATTTTTGGAAAAATAAAAATAAAATAAAATTTGTTATTAATGGCGCACCGTGGGTCTGGTGCGCCACTAATGGCGGACCGACTCATGGTGCGTCATTACTATATAGTAGTGGCGCACTACATGTCTGGTGCGCTATTAGTAGCCATATCATCTATAGCCCTTTTCCTAGTAGTGCAAATTATAATGAAATTCATAATTTTAAAAAATTGAATTTGAATACAAAATTAGCTCTCATAGCTTTGTTTAAAATCTATACAGGTACATGTCCCGATTGAGGAGAGAGAGAATGTCTGGATGTCCGGTGTGGTAACCTTTTGATTGGCTAGGAGGATGTGTGAACTCCCACAAAACACTTTCTATTACAAATATACATTTCTGTTACAAATAATATATATTTAAGTAGTTAAATTGATGACCTAGAATGACATGAATGCTTTATGCACTAAGACGGAGGGAGTACCCCTTTACTGGAATTCGGATGACCAGACACGTTCGTGAACGTTTGAGGAAACATTGAATGGCACAAGGTGTCCAGAACCCTGAAAAGGACGTATATATGGCGATGTTTTTTGCACCGAGACGGTAGAGTACCACTTTGCCAGAATTCGGACGTCCGGACACGTCCGCGGACTTTTGAGGGATATAATGGCAGAAGGTGTCCGGAACCCTGAAAAGGGCATACAAGGCGATGCAAGGGTCCGCGTTGAAGATGCCCTTATCATTGTATTTACATCTTTTAAAAAAGAATATCATACGTCGTAATAGTAATTTCGTAGGCATGTTATGAGCAAAAATCATGTTGAAAATTATGCATTAAAGATCAAAAAATCAGACGCGTTTCATATTTTAGGAAAGGAGGGAAGCACTGTAGGATCAGAAAAGGGCCCGGGCCCTGCTTGCTCGATTCGGCACGACAACGGCCACCGTTTGTGTACGGCAGGGGGTGATGAGTGAAGAGGGCGGCACAGTGCTACCACCACTTCTGCGTGTATAGCGGATTGAGCTTTCAATGCGAGACGGGTGGGTTCTATTCGGGATGGTTCTTCCGAATGTCGCGTTTCCCGTAACCCGGAATATCTATTGTTTATGGCAACAGTGCCCATGCGGGATTCATCCGTGCTAGTCCTTCCTGCATGACGTGCGGTCAGGTCAGGTCTCCATGTCCAGCGCAGTGAAGTGCGGCCACAAATCAGGCAACGAGAAGAGAGTGACGAACATGCGGGCCCGCTCCGGCGATCCATCGCCGCAGCGGAGAGAGCCCTCGCGGTGACCGTCAGTCGGTGGCAATCCTACACGAGGGGCTCGCCGGCGAACGTACGTGCGTTTGCATGTGGCTGCACAGGAACAGCAGCGGCGTGCTGTAGCTCGAGAAAAGAAAGAAAAAATCTTTGGCACAACGACCGGAGCGAGGCGATGGACGGAACCGAACGGGAGGAACAGCGCCCCGCAGCCGCGCACCGCCGGGGTATAATATTGGCGGGCACAGTGCGCGGCCGCTTGAAATTCCTTCGGGACGGGCGAGGCGACGTCACGGCGGTCGTCGCTCTGCTCCCATCGGGGCCGGGGGGGAGCAGCCGGGCGGGTCCGACCCGGACCGGACCCCGATCTTATCGGCCGCCACAGTGCCCCCGGTCGGCGCACGCACGACGCGGAGGCCAGGGGGTGGCGATGGGGCTGTTTGGTTTGAGCCCCAGCTAGCCCCACCAAAACTTTGGCATGACCAAAGCATGGGCATGACCAAAATTTTCGCAAGTTGTTTTTGTTTGGATTGCGACCATTATATCCACCAAAATTTTGGCAAATGGGATCTTTATTTTGTTTGGTTTGCGATCATCTGAACCTCATGATGATCATACTAGTTATGAAAATATTTAAATGCATCTACTGTTTAAAATTAAGAAAATATAGATCAAAACTTAGATGAAATTGATGTGAAAATGAAATCGTCAAAATAATAGTGTAAGTCATTGTTGCACTTGTAAGCCGCTAGTAGTTAATTGTCCGCAGCAGCATACATCATGCATTTTTTTAATCTAGATTGATGCATGCTGCTAATCACGCACGGGTCTACGTATTTGTAGTGGAAAAGCGCTGCTGGTTGCTGACAAATCAACATATTCTGCTGCATGCACTGGGCAGGGCCCACCAAACAACCGCGCCAATATTTTGGCGGAGCCTTTCCGTGCCCGCGACTCGCCAACGAATCGGCGCGATTAACATGGAGGGGCGCAGGGCGCGCTGGGCGAGCCAATTTTCAGGCGCCGGTCCAAACCGGCCACCAAAATACGTGGGCGAGCCAATTTTTTGGTAGGGCTAGTATTGGTAGCGATCCAAACAGCCCCGATATCCACAGGCAAGCGCCGCCCGCGAACTGAGCCGTACCGTACGTCCAGTCTGCTCGCACCTCTCACCCGCTCCGTGCGATGGGACAATGCCCCGGCCCTACACGCCGATATCAGATTTTTATTTTATTTTTAAAAATATGATCTATTCATGATAGTACAAAAAACATCAGAAACAATTAAAAATATGTCTGACCATAGACCATGTAGCAACAACTATAGAAGAAATGAAGCCAGCCGGTGCGTCGTCGTCGTTGCACCTCCCTCGTCAGAGCCGAACAAATCCTGTTGAAATGACAATCGGCAGGGACAAAGCCAGGAAGTTTATACAAGGGCCAATGGACTATGTAGAGCAGTGGAGGGACCAACCATAAAAATATAGATATTAACTCCACAGATCCTTGTATATAGGGGTGGCTTGTGAAAAAAATTGGCATGAGGGAGCGACGGCCACAACTAGCCCCCAATTTGCCTCACTGTCATCGGAAGTTGTCGTGCTAGACCCCAAAATACAAAACACATCAGAACATCAACCATTATCAATGAAGAGAAGCGTAGATTAGAAGGATCCAACCTAAAGATACGCCAATGCAGACAAACGAAGGATCCAAACAGATCCACCGAAAACTAATACCGGTCGGCGATATCCGACGGAGACACACCTACACACGCCATCCGACAATGCTAGACGCATCACTGGGACGAGGGCTAGGCGGGGAGAACATTATTCCCTCTCCTCGGGGCTGTCGCCGCCTCGTCTTTCCGAGCAAGACACAAAACCTAGACAACGTAAAAACACCTAAAAGCAGAGCACCTCCGAGCCTACGGGCGCGGCTTCTTCAGTCGGAGGCGTAGGAAGTTCGGTTTGGATGTGGATCTAGCCGGTTCATCTACGGGTATTGCAGATCAACGCTGGTTCCCCTACCCTCCAACTCTCCGGAGGAGCTCGTCCTCAGCGTCATCCACCAGTCCTCGACCATGGCCGAGACAGACTCTCGCAGTCACCGCCGCCAAAATACAAAAGCATTGTGGCTCGGCATCGAGGAGTCCGAGCGGCTGAGGAAGGAACGCATATGGCGACTGCGACACCTACTATCACCGCTCTGGAGATGGGGAAGGGTCCGGCAAGGAAGGGGGTGAAATTTATCCCTACCAACTCGTATCTAGTCATAGATGATATCAAGTTATTGAACTTGCTAAGTTTGGTTCTTTAATGTCCGGTCGTATGAATGTATTTTGTTGAATTTATCTACGTCGTATGAAATTGTATAAATTTAGAGGTTTGGATATGGACCGACGATTGCAGAGACAGATAAATAAAGTGCGACAGAGCGTTGTTGTCCACGGATGTACAAGGGGCCAAATTTGCTATGCCCGATTGAACATGATATGAGGCCCATATGTCTTGTTGAGCCTGTTAGAGTTTTGCCAGCCTGATGGTGGTATCACTTGGTGTATGCCCACTCACTTGGTTGAATTGACAGGAACCAGAAAAAAGGATGTACTTGCAAGCTGAAGCCGGTGTACTCCTAAATCTGAATACTGAAACTTTAGCACAGCACTAAAACCTTCCTTGAGCTTCCCATGCACGCACAAACATGTTTACACAAAGCAAGAGAAACCGCAGGGTCTCATTTCTGAACCCAGACAGGCAACGGAGTCACAGAGGTTAATTAAGGCGATCGATAAACAAAGAAACAACAGTGAGAAGCGGTAACTAGAAATTAACAGTCCCCCGCTACCCTATCAGGCCATTACAGGAGGCAGTACGTAGTAATTAATTGTACTTCACGATCGAGTGAATCCGAGGCCGTCAGGCCATCACCATCCCTTCTGCAGGAACAAGTCCCGGTCCCGCTCGGCCGCCTCCGACGAGCGGTCGAAGCGGCTCACCACGGCCTTCTTGAAGCTGAACGCCTCCTCCTGCGCCGGCCGGTTGCACGACCTCTGCGCGCCCCCGCCGCCGCCCAGGCTCGCCCGGGCCTCCTGAAGGATGATCACCTCGCTCAGCGGCACCCTCTTCCGCACCGCGCCCTCCTCCGGCCGCTGCTTCGGCGCGCTCTGCGACCGCACCTTCGCCACGGACGACCGCGTGCCCGACATGTAGCTCGGGCAGTTGAGCGCCGACGGGCTGTTGCTGTACGTGTATCCGTGGTCGCCGCACGCGCTCTTGGTCGGCGTCACCGGCGCGTAGCTCGCGTACCGGGGCGTGCTCTGCGCCGTCGCCGGCCGGGCCTTCTCGCACCACTCGTACTCCGGGAAGTGGCGCGCGGTCGGCGCCGCGATCCGCGGGGGCGGTCGGCACGGCATGAGCGGCGACGACGCCGAGTGAGCGTAGCACTCCTCGCTGGCGCCGGGGGAGGTCGTGCGGAGCGAGGAGGAGCGCGACTTGGGCCGCCCGGTGTCCATCTCCACGATCTTGGGGCTCCGGTCGTACCCGTAGCACGACGACGACTCCACGCTCGCCGACAGCCGCCGGCTGTAGTACGGCGCCACGCCGTGGTCGCTCCGGGAATCCTCCGTGCTGCTGCACCGCTCTTGCTGCAGACACAAGCAAGAGACCGCGCACGCGCGCGTTTGTCACGGTCGGCTAGCTAGAACAACGCGGCCTCGGACGGTCGGAGACATTGAGATTGATTGCTTTGGTCGCAAGCGACGATGCCGGCCGTGGTCACTTACCAGCGAGTAGCGCGGCCGGACAGGGGTCGGGTGGACGCGAAGGTTCGTGGGGAGCGCGGCGGCGCGCGAGCGGGCGGCGCGGATGCAGGCCTGCGCGCGGACGAGCGCCTGCATGCTCTGCAGCGTGGCCGCCGCCTGCTTCCGCACCAGGTAGCCGCGCACCAGCGCCTGCAGCTTCACCAGCCCCTTGAGCGCGCGCAGAGCCTTCTTGGCCTGCGACAATTAAGCACGCATTGATTCCATTAGTCGGCGCTTAATCCTGCGGAAATCATGGCGTCGATACTCGATATTCGGCAGGAAGTTACTCACGAGAAATCCACGGAACGCCGTCTGGATCTTGACCGCGGCGGAGGCGCGGCCGCGGGGCTCGGCGACGGCACCGGCGAGCACCGTGGACGTCGGCCCTTTGCTGGTGAGCCGCACGACCTCCACGGCGGCCTGCGCGGCGGCCACGGCAGCGTCGGCCGCCGCCGCGGTGGCCGCGGCGACGGCGATGGCGTGCTTGCTCTGCTCCCGCTCGGTCTCGTTGTACAAGGACTTGAGCCACGCCGCCTCGGCCGCGCGCGCGATCGCCGCGTTGCCGCTGAGCGCGGCGGCAGCGGCCGCCGCCTCCGCCTCGGCCGAGTCCCTGGTGGACTTGCAGAAGCTCCAGCGCTTCCGGTCCCCGTGCGGCGCCGCGGCCGTGGCTGGCCGCCTCTGCTCCTTCCCCTGCTCCTTCTTCCCGCCGCCGCCCAGCAGGCCACGCAGCCACCTCGCCGCCTTGCCCATCGCCGGAACCCGCCGCCCCGGCCGCCCAGAGAAGGCAACTCAGGTGGGCAACTACTCAAGAAGGCCGAGGCGTGTGGGTGAAGTGCGCTGGAAGAGGAAGGAGGCGTGAGGCGTGAGAAGCGGGCAGGTTTGAATAAGAGAGGGAAACGGCTATGGAGAGTGGGGAGCGGGATCCAAATAAAAAGAAACGGGAGGGGCATTACAGGACAAAAATAATAGTACCTCCAAGAAAACAAACAAAAAAAATTACTACTCACAAGTCTTACTCATTAATGCTCGCATGCATTGTGCTGCTGAGTGAGTCGCCTAGATAGACGGGATTAAACAAATGCGGCGTGATGCCAGGCCAAGAGATGGCAACGCATGCGACGCCCTCTGCCACGAGAACAAGCGAGCAGGGGGCGATTTGGTGCCGAGCTGAGCTCGGAGTTCAAAAATATGCAGCGATAGTTCAAAAAGATAGGCGCAACCGCGCAAGGGAGTGCATGGAGCCATGTCCTCCTCTCCTGCAAAGCTGTGTGGTCAGCTCGTGGTGGTAGTAGTACTAATCTGCGTCTGCATGGACACTAACACGCATGCACCCACGTTGCGATTTGCGAGCTCGAAAGGTCAGTGTCGTCGAGGAAAGAGCGGCGAGTGGTGGTACTGAAGAGAAAGAAACAAAATTTATCTAGTGGCCGGCCCGGTGAACTCTGGCCGGGAAAGCGAGCGAGTGGTGAGCGGGGGCTGCGATGTGGAAGTACTCCGTGACGCAGTTTCGGGTAGGCGCTGCGTGGTGGAGACCCTGCCGCCATGCATGCGTCGATGGGAAGCAGCACGGGACGGTGAAAAACGCAAAGGCTTGGACTTTTGGGCCGCGTCTCCTCCTTTCGTCTTTTCACGGTGCGTGTGCCAAAGGGAAGTAGAGACGTACGTTTCGTACGTGACGACGCACACCGTCTTGGCCGCTCCCTCGTACGTGTACTCGCCATGCACCACCGTCAACGCGCCATGCGTTACAAGAAGACACGTGAATGATCTTGAGCGAGAATCATTACATGTAGAATATGTACGGCGGATTGCTCAAAAAATTTTACACGTACGACGCTGAAAACGCTGGTGACTTGTGTTAACCTGCCACGAGGGCTCTGATCCATCTCTCTCTCTCTCTCTCTCTCTCTCTCTCTCTCTCTCTAACTCTAACTCTCTCTCTCTCTCTCTAACTCTAACTCTAACTCTAACTCTCTCTCTCTCTCTCCCCCCGGAAAAGCGATCTTCTCAGTGCCGGGGAACTCAGGGCAGCCGGCAGCAGTGGGTGGAAGCTTTTTACCTCTCCTCCGAGTGAGTGTGTGTGCGGGCTTTTGCGTTGCACTGCACTGCCGCTCTCGTGAGTGGCAATTTGACCTCTAGCACCTGGCTACTCCGCCAGTATCTTTTTTTCAAAAGTTCATGGCCACTCCATTAGTCAGGTAGTAGCGTGGTGGTGGCCGGAGTGTGCCGTGAGTGCGGCGGCACCGCGGGGACGAAGGATCTTTGCGGAGACGTCACCGATCGATCCGTCGAGGTAAAGGCGCGGGGAGGATCGCACCAGGACGTAGTACAGCGATGGGGTCTAGGCTCTAGAGAGGGAATATATACGGATTCGCGTCTCGGCAACGAGCCAAGAAGCTGGCCATGATGAGATTCTAAAACCTCGCCAAAAATCCTTTTGATCTCTCCACAGGGCAAAAAAACCTTGCCAAAAGCCTTACGCGGGCAGAGGTAACATGCATGTGCATGTGCACCAGGCAGGCCCGTGAGGCTGGTTACAATGGACAAGAACATAGTCTACTAACTTACACACTTCTCTAGACTATGTTACTACTTTTATAGTGGGTAGAAACATCTATGTAATGTCATGCAACAATGTATTTATTAGGTTATAGACTCATTGTTTCTTGGAGTGTGTGATGTTTCGGTAATTTAGCTAGTTACCACAAGCACCTCTCTCTTCATTAAATATGTGACACATAAGTAAAGTTGTATTGGAGTTTGATGTTACTCTTAAGTTCCTCCCCATTGTGACCAGCCTAAGCGAGAGCGTGGAAAATACACGGAAAAAATCACGTGTAATTACGGCCGTATGGACGCTCTCTTTATTATTATCAACCAAAAAAGAGAAAAGAAAGGCAGTATGGAGGCGGACGACGTACGCAAGATCAGGCCAGGTCTTGTACATGTACTGCGTCTCGGAAGATTAACACGAAAATGGTGGCGGTGCCGGTCTGAGTGCGTGATTTGATTTTCACGCGGCACGCAGGCCCCTACTGTGTGTGCAGGAGTTGGTAGTCCTTGGCGCAAGTACGATTTGATAGTATCTCCAAATCTTCGTGACCGTGTATGGGTTTCACCGTACGTACGTACGTGCTCCTACTACTGTGCTCGGGCTTCTGAAGTCAACTCAGCCACAGTCCGTGGTAAAACTAGTACTAGGCTCCAAGCTCTGACTGTGAGGCAAGCAGGGGGCTAGTACTCCTACTCCTCCTCCAAGCAGAGATGTGCATGCAGGCATGGTACGTGCACTATTGTGAAAAATAAAATAAAAATCCCACTCATTACTTCCTTGTGTGTTTGACTAAACTTACTCGAGTGGCGCTGCCCCTTGACCGCGTTCCATCGGCAGCCGCGGCAGCAGGTCCATCATTCCAAACCATAAATTAGGCTGTCAAATCACCCACAGTCGCTCGCACACGACAGCGGTTCAAACCCCATGCAGTCACCCCGAATTTGCTGGGATTGCGAAACGGAGGATTGGCACGAATCGCCGTTTCCGAGGCATGGCGCGCACGACCGAGGCGCCCTGGCCTTGCCAAGACTTCCGGGTTTTCACCAGCTGCTTTGCCGCTGAAAACCTGCAGCCGGAAATGGTTATCTCTGCTGCAAACTTTTCACATGAACACACTACTCCTCCGAGGAGGAGTAGAATTCAGAGTGTAGCAGTATCTACTGCTACGTGCGGTGCTTGGCACCTCTCGGTTGGCATGTATGCCGAGCACATGATGTGCGAATCATGCGTTTGAACAAAAGCGCCCACATCAAAAGGCAACGGGATGGATGCATTTTGGATGCCCGTGTGCGTGTGCGTGTGTGTTTGGGTCGAAACATCCGAGCAGCGGAAGGAAAGGCCTGCCTGTTGTTGCACTCCCTTTCGGTGTGGTTCGTCTTCCTAGCAGCATAGCAGCGGCTTTTCTTTTCCCCGTGCCGTGCCCCTACCACGTGCGCGGCACCATGGCCACCGCTGGAGCAGCGGCAGCGGCGGGCGTCGTATGTCTCGGACGGAACGGAGCGGAAGGCTCGCCGCCGGGCCAATCAGCCGGGCGGGTCAACAGCGAGGGCGCGTGTGGTTCTGTGACGAGGCCGCGGGATGGGACGGGTTGGGTTTCCGGGGAGGGGAGCGTGCGTGGGCTCGCGGCGTACGAGGGCGCCCATCCATCCATCCGCTCTGTTGCGTACTTGCGTTGCGTTGCACCGGCGGGCGGGCGATCCCCGTTCGTGGATCGATGCTGATGAGGGGGTGACCGACGAGGGGAGGGCGTGGTGGCATTGGACGAGCCCGGCTGGCGCGCGGGTCTAGAGCGCTGGTTCCAACGTTGACGTGTCGAATGGTCGAGCATGGACCGACCGTCCGTCCGGAGGAGGAGGCTGGCAATCAACAGCATCGAGCCGATGCCGCCTGACCCATGACGGCGGGCGTGTGGAACAGGCTGCTAAAGCCTTTTTTCTTTCTTATAAAAAGCATTTCTATTTTGCATATTTTACATGGCCGGGCAGGGCAGTTCTTTTGTCGCCTTTTTGGCTTCTAGAATAAGCAGCCTCCTACCCAACTAATTGTAGAACCGCAATTAAATTATTATTTTAAAAAGTTTACTAGTCAATTCTTAATTAGTAGCATTCTAAAACAATAAATTTGGTTGGGCTTCTAGAATAAACTAGATAGGGGACACCTACTTATTCTAGAAGCCAGTAAAAGAATTGGCCCTACGTCTTGTTTCTTGTGTCTGTTAACGAAAAGATTATACCTCCCTTATTGCGAGTGTGGCTTATGTTCATTAAGGCTGGTCATACTGGGGAGTAACTTAGATTAGTAACATATATATGTTACTAGTCTATGTTACTACCTTCATAGTGGGTAGTGTCATAGGTGTGGTAACATAGTTGCCTTCATTTATTACTTTGTAGACTCATTATGCATTGGAAACCGCTATGTGATGGTAACATATTATGTTACTTTATTTGCCTCTCTCCTCATTAACTACTTGCCACATCATCATTTTTGCTTATGTGGCATCTATGTTACTATCTATGTTACTCCCACTATGACCAGCCTAAGTCTTTTCTTTCCCGTTGTAACTAGGCCGGCCTATTACAACTTTTTGTATCCCTACCTACACGTTCGATCACTGGCTGGAGTCTCGCGCGGACGGCGTTCTCATCTGGTCGTTTTTTTCTATTTTTCTTTTGGTTTTCTTTATTACTTTGTTGATTGTAATCAGTGTCTTTTTTGTTTAACACGTCAACTTTTCTCAGTACACATTCAACATTTTCTATGTACACCAGAAAAACATATTTTATGTACATGTTTCCGTTACATTAAGAACATTTTTTATAGATGTTTAATATTTTAATGCGTCATTAGATAATTTAAAATATATTTTTTTATGTATATTTTATTTAATGTAACGTGTATGTTTTCATATACACCAGGAACATTGTTTTATACACGTTTAACATTTTTTAAGTACATGACCAATATTTTTTCATACATGACAAACTTTTTTGTATACATATTTAACATTTATTAAGTGCTTGATTAACATTTTTAAAATGCTCAATTACATTTTTTAAACACAAACTTTTTTCTTGCACATTGTTTTTAATACATTTTTTGTATATCTGAGAAACATTTTCTCCATGCACATTTAACATTTCAAATGATTGGTTAAAAATTCAAAAACATTATGCAAAATATTTGTTTAATATAT